TGGAGCCCTGGGGTCTTCTCAAGTACCACTGTCAAAAGGGGCCAAACAATTTTAAGCTGATACATTTAAAAAAACACTATATTTAGAGGTAATACCTAGAGGTATTTCCTTGTATAGTTGTATATTTACTTTTTTAAAAATATATTTCATAATATTCCTGTAGCAAATTGTTCTGCGAAGAGAGCTTTATCTAAATTAATTAGAATAAAAAATAAGTTTAGAAACAGTCAGACATAAGAAAATTTAGACATACAAATGATTTTATATTCTGAGAGTTATGTGTTAAAATAATTAGACTTAAATTAAGTAGGTACTAAGAGAATTGGCTTCAAGTAAAGCCAAAAAAATAAATGTACTTGATAAAATAGTTTTTGTTTTTTATATTAACTTTTTGTTGATATTTTATTTTATTTGTATTTTAATTAACTCACGCTCAATCGGGATATTTATTGTAAATAAATATACTGTTAATGAAATTAAAACTTATTATGAACATTTGAATTCAAATTAATGAAATACTAAGTTTTTATTAAGTATTTTATAAATATAGGTACCTAGTAGTTTTATAGACATAAATTAAATATATATTAATTATATAATGCAATTGTACATTTGTGAAATAGAAATATTTATCTATGAAATTAGGTTTTGCTAAGCATGTTTTGTGAAAAGGGCCCATATGAATAATATAATATAAAGTATATTATACACTTTTTCTTGGTTAGATCTAGACTTGTGTCTGGGTCAGTCTTCTGTCTGGTCACTAAGTTATACCAATTACCAATCATATTAAAAATATAGAAAACGTTCAATATAAATTTCTTAAAATTATATGCTTCAAATTAAATTTGTCACCTCTAGACCTCTAAAGTTCAATATTAATAAAAATAACTTTTCTTTTTAAATCATATTTTAAAAACAATGTAATATGCAGTGTATACTAGTTAGTAGTTTATTAATTTTACAATTTTTTACTAATAATAACAAACGTATAAAATAACACAGTTGAATAATAACACATTTTATAAACACAATAATTCAATAACAATAAACTTAATAAATTACATTATTTAATAATAAAACATTTAACAATAACAGACCCCCGACAATGTTAAGTAAAATATTTTTATAAGTGGACAAGCAGAAAATGTAATTTAAACTCAAATATTTACAGTGTTTAGTATTTACAACATACTCAGGGATAAGGTCCAATCTGTTCTTGAACATACCCATCATTTCGGTGACCAGTCCTCCTCAAAAACATTAATAGGTCACTGTCTCTGTTGAGTTGTTGTACCGACTCTCTTATGATCCGCGTAGCGTTTTCTCTTAGAGATCTGGAAGTACCGTCTCTAATCTAAAAAATAAATATAATTGACATAATTCAACCACAATCAATACAACAAATCATGTTTATTCAAAAAAATATAATTATTACCGTGAGGTTATTTGTGCGCTGTTGAAATTCTACATAGAACTGATTTTCAACAATAATCAGTCTTTCTGTTTAGAAAAAAAAAATATATTTATATTAATTATTGATAATATAATATTGTTGACAGTAAAAATAATTGTAAACAATATTTTGTTTTCATGCTACATATACTAATAAAAGTGATACATTTATAAAGCACAATTAATGTTCACCACACAACTAATATTTATAATGCTACATTTACACACAAGCAAGTATTTTAAGTAATAATTATTTAAATTTCTCAAAATTAAAATTATTTGTATCAATGATTCAAAACTAAGGGAATTAAATAGATTTTACAACACCAGGTTAAGCTTATCAAGACAACAATAAACAATTAGAGCAAATAGCAAACAAACTATATACTATGTTAAAAATTAAAAACAAATATTGATAGAACTTACTAATTTTATTCTTAAGAATTGTTCTTACACTGTTGATTATGTTAAACATGTACCTAACAACACAAACATAAAACACATAACACATATAACATATAACACAAACATGTATAGGATAATGCAACATAGAGATCACAGTATGGTCAAGTGCAACTATGACGACTCACGAAGAAAATCCCAAATATTAGGGTGGCGTCCAATTTGTGTGAGCAACGTTGAATGGAAAGATTCCAAGTAATTGTTGGTCCGGTGATCTTGACCAAAAACACTTAGGCGCCGTGGACCAATTTGCACAAACCAATAATCAAATACATAGTCCCTCAGAAAACGACTCATAACCTCACTGATGTCAGGAAACTGTAAGGTGTACGCGACAATTGTATGAAACCCATCTTCCATACAAAAATTAGGGCACCCGGGATTACCCCTTTCAGCCGGTAGGTGAGGCAATGCTAATACCTGAAATATAAAATACAATTGAAATACAACAATGTTTACTTGTAAATAAAACTCAAAATTACCATTCTGAAAATACGAGCTGCCACTTCATGCCTCTTCACCAAATTTAAGACACCATTAACTTTTCGGTGACAATATCGAACAACTGACTGTGACATTCATATAAATTTTAAATAAATATTATTAGGTTTACCCGGCAGGTATGATCATAACAAAATGTTTTATATTAGGTACCTGTGAAAAATGGAACCAGCAGCAGAGCAATTCACTGTTTGGAAATATTCGCTGGACAGCATTCATAAGAGCACGCTCATAATCAGTTACAAAACGGATTCTGTCATAATTCAGTGGTAGAATATTGCGTATGACAGTGAATAACGCAGAGTATGTTTCTTCCGTCTCACTCCCCAAAAGGACATAGACCATTGGGAATGCCTAAATTGTAAATAACAGTATATTAGACAATTATGACAACAGTAATAAGTAATAACGAATATCAACATAATAAATTGCTTACTACACTTTTGTAGAGTACTTGAAATGTCAGAAAACATCGCAAGTCCCCTGGCACTTGAGGAACTGTCTTATATGTACTATCTATTCCAACCATCTCTACTGTAGCCAACTCTTGACGGTATTTTTCAATTGCAGAAATGTTTGCAAAAATTACACCTACACTTACTCCATTTACAATCAATTCTTGATTGAAAAATGCTGAGGAAGGAATTTGGAATGTAGAAGCGTAATTTGAATTTCGGGGGTCGCTCAGCATTTCTGAGAGTTCATGGATGTTCTGAGGCAACTGTGGGCGCCTTGATTGTCTCATTCTTTTTGCTCTGGATTGTGTCTGGAGGAATGTATAGCTTATGGCAGCTTGAGGATGTCTAAAACAGTATAACAAATTAATACATATTTAGCATAATTTATGTATTTCATCACAACAATTAAGTTAACTAACTTACTTAATTATTTCACTGTTATAAAGACCGCGAACTGATGGGGTTGTAACTGTGCGGTCAACAGCTCTTTCACCAAGTGCATTCCTCAAGAATGGAACATCCAAGTTAATTGCTTCTGGATCATGATTGTGATCAGTTACAATACGAAGCCGGTTGTCTCTCTCATTAATACTGATTGATGCTGAACCATGGCACATAAAATCACCTCTGGGATTTTTTCGTAGCTCACAAATTAGATTTATCGTATTGACCAGTAACTTCTTACGATAATATTTGAATCCCAAATTGTCCACATAAAATTTTGAGTTGAGTCTAATGCCGGGGATTATTCTATATGTTCTTGGTTCAGCATGCATAACAAGTTCTACTGCTCCATCTTCTTGTTCTACTGCTCCATCTTCTTGTTCTACTGCTCCATCTTCTTCTTGTTCTACTGCTTCATCTTCTTCTTCTTCTTCATCAGGTGCTGGTCCATCTTCTAATGCTTCTCTATCTTCTTCTGGCTGGGCCTGAATCTGAACTGCAGGCAACTGTTGGGCGTAGGTATGATCTTGCAGGTAGATGTTTGGAGCACCAACTTCTTCTTCTTCTTCATGATTGGCTGGGATGACGTAATTGTGATCCCTCAGCGCCATTATGGAGGTGTACCTATGCTGAAAAAAACTTTAAAAAACTTAAAAAATATTAAACAAAGTAACAAAAAGAAATATAAATGAATAGTATAAATATAAATGGTTGGCCTTAAAAAAAACCGTTTTTCTTTTTTTTCTTGTACTCGCAGGTAAATCGCAGGTGTAACTATTGCAGGCAAATTGCAGATAGACAGATCTATATAAAATATTGAAAATTATATCAGGATCTATAGTATCACATATATCATAAAATAACTAATCAATATAATTAGGTTTTTGGTTACATTTACATATTACATTCGTTATATTAACGATTTATAACATAATTATTCACTTTACATAAACTGAAGTCGATTCAGTTAAAAACATACATCATTAAGGTTGGCAATCAAAATAAATTCAATTACTAAAATTATTTTTGGTGTTTTCCATAGTTATTTGATACAACATCAAAACACAGGCAATATCAATATCATTGATTCTTCCAAACAGGCCAAAAAAAAAATTCCTATCATAACTGTAGTTAAATTTTTATACTATTAAAAATTTATTTGAAAAATATATTGAATTGAGGAGTTCACACATAGTAAAGTTAAAAATAGTGAACGAAAACTCAACTTTACCAAACATGACTGTATAGGTTGTTAACATATACAAACACTTTTATCCAAATAATTGTCTTGTACAATACTATTTATAACTTATAACTTAAATCAATGAAAGTCTATTCAAAATATGTAAACATATTATTTAAAAAAAAGTAAAAAGTGGCTTTAAGACATAATATTATGAGTGGCTTTGAATATTGTTTTAATAGATTAGTAAGACATTATTAAGAATTGATCAATTATTTACCATTCATAACTGAGAACATATCATAAAATAAACTTAAAATAAAGGCCTAAAAAAATCACTAATGATCAGAAAATAGTGACTATTTCACACTATAGTCTTTCTATAACAATCCCATTTTTTCCACTATGAGTAGGATTGAACAACATATCAAAATATGTATAACCGTGTAATACTAAAGTTATGGTTAGGTATTGCAGGAGTGTCATCAAAACAGCCATCACCAACCAATGACTATCACAACAAGGTCCATGGTTTTTGAAATACATTTGGAAGATTTTTGAGAGCAGCATTCAGTATTTTCAAATCTGCAATTATGAACAATTTTAAAATGTTATACCTTGTTACAATCAATCTGGATAATTCTGTTGAAGGCAGTGAACTAAGTGTCAATATGACTTTATAATACCACTGACATCATTATTAATTTACACTTAATATTTAATAAAGACCTAGTTATATTAATATTTAATGCTTTGTAATTATCATAGTGGCTTGTTTATGAAAGCACCCTCCTTCCAGAGAATGTTTAAAGATCCCAACATTTAAACATGTCAATAATATAATAATTTAAGTGGGTTTATTTTGTAAATCAAAATGAAAAAAACTTATTTTAACATTCAATTGATGTATTTGTTCAATTTCATTAATTTGTTTTTGTATAAAACTATGAACTTCTAATAAAACAAGTGAGATATAATATGCGAGAATATAAGCATTTTGAACTGATTTATAAAATTATTTCACTTTTACAACACCCACCACCCACAAAAAAGTAAGTTTTTAAATGTCACTGGTAATTATTTACCAAACCACAAAGTTAAACGATTACAATGTCACTGTCGATTGCTTTCTCACTACAGTAATATAAAACCTAAATTAGTATATAGTTACTTTCAGTATTAAATCATTTAATAGAAAACTTAAAATACAAGTACACGTTTTGTATCATATTATTACAATAGTTTGTTGATTCTTGCTTATTCATGACACTTGTAACGAGCGCCATATTACAAATTAATAAAGGTTGAAATTTCTTTTAATAAAATGTACAATATAATAATAATAAATATTTAATTTAACTGTAAATTTTACCATTTAAATAATAACTTTAAATATCTAATTGTTTTTTTAACAAAATTTAGTCAATTAGATATAATATTATTTTATTTTATTTTTATTAAGATACAGGCCATGGCCCAAAACCAATGAGAATAATATAATAGGTATTACAATAAATTAAATGATAAATAGTATTAAATATAATAAAATTAACAATTAATCAATAATAATTGAAAGTAATAATATTTACAATAATATTGGCTATACCCTGTTGAACAGTAATTTTAAGGATAATTGAAGCTGGGGTCTTCATTAGCAATCCGCATAAGACGGTTAGGTTAGGACTCTCTCTACCATTAAAGCATCTACAGATAATTAAGGGTCCAAAATAACAGATCCATATTCTAAAATAGGTCGGACTAGGGAGCAAAAGAGAAACTTCAATGACCGGTGGTATATAAGTAACTCAATGATAGAATACCTGAATTTAATAGGTACAATAATACATTATTAATATAATTATACTTCTAAGAAAAAGTGTCTATTCAAATAAATTGTGATTAGTTATTAATTAATTATATCTAGTATGTAAAATATATATAATTGTTACATATTTATAAAGAATTTTGGGTCCTTTAATTGTTAAAGCCCTAGGGCATTTAAAAACAACAACAAATTAGTTCTTTGCAAGTGTGTGATTATTAATGAATAATTTATTATTTTATTAACAGTTAAAATCACTAAACGACAATAATTAATAGGACTTTGTTAACAATTTTATTCTTACAATTTGGTTTTTAAATCACTAATTGTATACTTCTAGGTTTGTGAACGTTGTCCAACACATTTATTCTTTAAATTTTTTCAAAGCATTTAACAAATTACTGATTTAAAATAAAACTTTTTCCGTTAAATAGCTATTACAAAAATGTTATTGTTATAAAATCATTTATTCATGTTTTTTATCCAACGGTTTTATTAAAAAAGTGGCTTTTCCTAACTTAAACAAGTTAGTTCAAATTGTTAGAGATAGTTACAATTTAAATAAGTACTGCAACATGTGCGTGTAGTTTTTAAAGTATGCAATACATTAAAAAATTGGTTGAATGTTTGTTTTAGATATTGAGAAGGATGTTGCAAATAACATAAAAACAGAATCAGTGTTAGCTAAGTACAGCACAAAAAAAAGAAAAGCTAATATAAAATGTAGGTATGTTAATTGTAACTTCTAAAGTACCTATAATTATAATATAATACGTTACAAGTTAAAATTAACATACCTACCCATAATATTTTATATAAGCTTTTCTTTTATAACAATATATGATTACCTAGTTAATATACAAAATATGAATGAATAAAATTGTTGAAGTTGTGTTACAAAATTTGTAATTTATGTACGTCTATAGTTGCGCCAATGGGTAAAAACTCAAATGTAGTACTTACTAATTGAATAATTATTAATTAGGTGTGAACCTTCTATGAATAAATATGAACATTCAAATAGGTACATTACGAATAATTTATCCAAGAACTATTATTAAGGTAAAAATTAAAAAATACAAGTTTTACTTACGGTAATAAATTAGAATGCTGAACCAAGCGGCAAGCACCAACGTACAACCAGCAGCGGCAAAGCAAACGTAAAATTAGCAACTGTTTACCGAATACCGTTAAATAACGGTCATTCAAAAAATTCGACAGACGGATAAATGACAGATACATAATGTATCTCCGTCTTGGACAAGGGTGGGAAATTCATAAACTCAAAAATCGTACTGGAACTATTTACAATGCCTGATGGTTGGTATTAATTTGCAATTTTTTTATTTGAGGTTAGAGTTCGAACTCTTGATTAAGATTATCAGCTATAATTTCTTATCAAGGGACCTAACTCTTATCACGGGGACCCAACTGTCCCCATCCCACGGAACACTCTAGTTCAGTTGTGACAACGTAGAAAAATAAAAGTCCCACCGATATGTCCAAATGGTAACACAAACGTTACAAACCTACACCGCTTTCCACTCGGCCAGCGCATGCCATATAACCATAGAACAATAACAAAATAACCGAGAGAGAAAGAACATAAAGAAGTAAAGGATCACCGCATGAGGAACTGTATACATTCTACTACTTTGTTTCTTTTCTCGCTCAATCTATATCGTACTCGACTTCTCTCTCTAAGCGCTATAGGTCTACGGACACAAATCACCAACCTTAAAAACCTATGTATAGAAACATAAGTCTGATTTATTACCGATTTGAAATTTAAAATGTGTTACAGACAACAGTCACCTACTCATTTTCCAGTTCGAATTAATATTATAGTAATTAATGGGTATGCAGAAAAAACACTGGGTCGTCATTTCAGTATTTTCCCGGAGAAATTTAGTGATGGGCAAAACTGTGGCAAAACGGATCAATTGAACGGTCCGGTACGTTGAGTTCGCTCGGATCGGATATTCGGGTCTTCCAAAAGACCTGTTGGCCGTTCATATTATGAATCGTTCGTTTTTTGCATCTTAAACCCAAGGTTTATAGATTATACCTAATTCTATAATATCTTAAACCGTGGTTTTTTTGTCCTATTTACCCGTACCCTATTGGTCCAAATATTGATAAGCATAATATTATTATCTTATCATTGTTGGTTTGATTACCGCCTTAATTCAAATTTAATTCCCCGGCGAATAAGCCTTTAAACAAGTTACTTTTAAATTTTATTAGGTGGTTAAAAATATGAACAAATATTTATGTTTTAACTTTAATTTATATGTAATAAATAATAATGGCTAATATTAAAGATTAAACCACTTACTTGTATAATACACTCTATATAAGGAACTCGTGTATTCTTATTATTTTGTATATTAATTTGCATTTTCTTGATCGGCAATTAGTTGATACGGATGACAGATAATATGTATATCTTGCAGGGCTTTGTACCGGAATCATTTTTTCGGGTTTCAGGTTTAGGGTATTGAGAGAAAATTCTGGTTGTTGAATTCGGGTGTTACAGGTTAATACACTTTTCTGGTTACGGTTAAATGCAAATTTATTCAGGTTAATTATGGTTAATTCGGGTGTTAAAAAAAAAATACATGTTGTATATCAATTAACATGAGATTTTCAATGCAAATTTGATATAGTAATCTGATTTTATATTTAAAGTAAACATAATGAACAAAATTGAAAAATTAATTGAAGTATTAATACTTATTAGTTATTAGTTTATTACTCAGTACTTACTCAGTCCTTTTTCTACAGAAGAAAGTTATCACTTATTAGATATTTTAATTTTTAACCAAACGTATTTTCGTTGTATTTATTTTTGATTACAAAAAAAAATTGACAAGGCTGGGCATTAACGAGTTAATAAGTTAAAGTTAAGTTACTTTTAACTAAGTTAATTAACGAGTTACTTTTTTTTTAGGAGTAACATCTAACTTAACTTGTTAAATTTTCCATATTTTATTCAGTAACTTAAAGAGTTAATTAATTTTATTGGCTTGTTAAGTTAATTTTTTCCCAAACCACATATTTAAAATAAATTAAATTTTGTAAAATTAATTAAATAAAAAAAAAATACGAAATATTAAATATATTTTAGTAAATAATAATTTATAATAATAGTAAGTTATTATATTGCATATTCACAGAAAATATTATACAACTTTATTATAGACAGAAATGTTATAGGGGTAACCGCAATACCGCATCATTAATAAAAGAAAAATATAACAATTTACTCAGTACCTACCCATATTGTACCCAAACCCTGATTGTAAATATCTTGTAAAAATAAAAAAAAATGTTCAACCAAATAATAAAAATAACCATATATATATAATAATTTTGTGAAGTTTTTGAATATTTTTAAACATGAGAAATAATAATTATTGATCATCAGATATAAGCCACGTAAAAGCTAAAGATTTCGAAAAATAGCTCAACATTTATAAAATACTTTTAAAATTCAACTATCTAAAAAAAAATATATAATACTAAAAATAACTAAAGTACGTAAAATATTATAATAGCAAAACAAATATAATATAAAATATTCTAGGCTGACAGATCAACTACGTTCAGAATCGTTTTTTTGTATACAATGATTTATTATCATTGAATTCAAATTTAACACATTTATAAACCATTACAGTGATCAACTCGACAGTTTACATTTACTGTACAGCAGATCAGTTTCCACATGCCGACCTTTTTTTTTTTCATTTTAAATTAATCATTTAAAAGACAACAGATTATACAATCAACAGATGTTGAAACGATTAAATTAATAAAAATAAAATAAAACTATTGATATCGTCTATCACAATTACCGAAAAATCAACAATGAACATTTTTTAGGTATTTACTATTTATATAAATAAATATTATATACCTGACTAAGCATTTGCACATAGAAATACATTGAAAACCGCTATTATGGGAGATTGTATTTAACAGGTTTATAGGGTTATAATGATCATTGCTGGCTGATATAAGTCAAGCAGCTATGTGTATAACAAGGTATTTGGTTGTAAACTTGTAAAATATTGGATGAGTACAATGTTGAAAAAGGAACATTTTTGACAAATTGGTATAATTACTAATTAGATATAAATTATCTTTAATATCTCGTTTATTATATCATGAGTTTTTATGTGGTCTTATACAAACAACAATAATAATAATATAAACCACTATTTCATAATTATTGATGCAAATTAATATTGTCTGATTATTTTTGATAAAAATACAAATATGTAGTACGCATTTAATGAGTAATACATTATTAAAACAAAAAATTGATTCAATTACAGACCTGTTGAAAGAAATGTCTAAAAATGAAAATGCAATAAGAATTAAGTAGGTTAGTATTTTAATAAAATAACAAATAATCATAAACTTTATATAACTATAATCTAATTTAACAGTTCTAATGCATCTTATATTCGTTGCTAAATTACTTTATATATAGGTATTGCAAATAATATATTTTTAAAAATAAAAGAGTAATAGTCCAAATTCAATATTTAAAATAATGAAAATATGTATGTTAAGTATAATATATTCCATTACAATATTTTTACATTTTATTTATTTAAGAAAATATTGTTTTTTTTTGAACAAATTACAATTCTTTGAAAGAATATATGGCAATGGTATACAGTTGTGCGTATATGTAGAATTTAATAAAAAGCGCAGTTTACAAAATTTAAGTTGAGCAAAAAATTTCAGGCCAACACAAATGGATAATTATTAATTATAGACCTTTTGCAATTATAAGTTCTTTTGCAAAGTGAACGCATATCTAAATTATTATTATTTGCAACACAATATTTACAGTATTGTGCACAGTTGATAAATATAAAATATTAATAGTTTTCATACAAAATATTTAACTATGCATATTAAATCTCAGGTAAATGATAATTTAATACAAGTAACTATGAATTTATTGAATTACAAACAATTTATATTGACATTATTACCTACATTAAATTTGCATTATTATTATTATGATTAAATGATATAATTTGAACATTTGTAACAAAAATATTTACAATTACAATATTATACCAAGTAAAAACATTATTATAATTGATTTCAAATTAGGCGATAATGAACATATTTATTGAATTACTACAATGTGTCCCGAAATTGGTAACCAATGACCACATATATTTTTAATAATAATACCGTGTAACAATATTAGATTTGACACTAAGCTCAATCCATATTCCATATGCATGTAAATTATTAAAATAGAAAAATCTTCCACTTAAAAATTCAATAATATCATGTTCACAATATACAATATTATACTAAAATAACTATAAGTATAATAATGATTGTATATTATCTTAAATAGAAAAATACATAAGTATCACAATAAAACCAAATAAAAAAAATAAAATAAAATCACAATTTAATTTGTATTTGGTAAATAAAATATTGGCAAGAGTTACAATGAATTTGTGTTACAATTAAGATAAAACCAATTAAAATCAAGTCTCATTCTTAATTTTTAACTCTCATTTTTAAAATAACCATGATAAAAATATCTGTTGAAATTAAGTACTAAGTATATTTTATATTAAAATATAATTAAATGACATCATGTTATTAATTATTAATTATTTTGAATAAATATCATTCGCGTATACTTGATTGGACGGACATTATTGACATTCTTATAGGAATGTCAAATAAGAATATACTTTTTATTTAAAATATTTAAATAGGTACATTTATGAAAAATATTTGTTGAAAAAATAAAATATATATATAATATATAAGATTGAGGATCAAATGATAATCATAATGGTTGCACAATTAAGTTTATACATAAAAATATGTGATGTTAAATAAACTACTTATAAACAATATTAAAACATACAGTTAAATTAATTATCTGTAACTTATCTAAACAGACATAATTTGTTAATAATCATACATAACACTGTTAAGTATTCTGTTTTTTTTAGCTTTTAAAAATATTACTCGCAAACCAGGCCGTCAAGAATTTAACTTGTTGTGTAACAATATTGTGTCTTTTTGTAATTTATACAATTCTTCTTCAATTTTTTCTGTAATTAATTTACGAGCTTCCTCCTCAGTCACATTGGATTCTTTCAATTTTGAGACTAACTCTTTTAAATCTATAGGCTCACCAAAATTAAATGTTACCTTACGACCAGTTCGTAAATAGTATGGCGGTTCATTAGGCAATATAGTTTCCATTCCAACATGACAAATAGGTACAACAATAGGCAATATAGGAGATTCATATATCATTTGACCGACTCCCCATTTTAGGCGTATGTAGTTTTTGCTCATATTAACACGACCCTCAGGGAAAACATGTAGCCATTTACCTTTAGACAACAGTTCTACACCAAACTTAACTGCTTCCTGTAACAAAATGGATAACAATTATAAATTCAGAATTTTTTTATATTAAAAAAAATTTTATTATTTTTAATATTTTAGATTTTGGGTACAGCCAGAAATACATTTGTTTTACAATTATTATTTTTTTTTTAAGTTTGTTTTATATTTTCTTATAGAAAGTGCTCCAAAAGTTTCATACAATTTTATCCATGAATTGGATCTAGATGGTATTTAATAGAAGATAATCTCCTACAACTATCATCATTTATATTTTGGATAAGAGCCGTATTCATAGTCAATGCTTAAGAATAAGTAATGCTTTACTTAAGCTAATTTTGATCATTTAAAAAATAAAAATTTGTGATAATAACTAAAAGCAATAAGTAAGGTAGGTCTCAACCAACCTTAATTTAAGCAATACTTTTTCATTTATTAAGCCAAAGTCTCATTTATGAATCTCACTTGAGTCATAAATATAGGTTAAACAATATTCTAAAGCATCGACCATGACCTAAGTGTTTTGTGAATGTAAGATAATTTGGACTATTTTTGGTATAAACATAAAGTATGATTATGTTGTTTTATTTTTTATCTTTGTTTTTTGGATCTGATAATCCAATAACAAGAAAGTTGTATTCTATTTTAACTATAACTAAAAAAATTGTTTGTAATAATTTTGTTAAGAAACATTAAGACCGAGTTGCACAAAAATATGTTGGTTCAATAAACAGTATCTTATGATTTTTGTGCAACCAAGCCTAAAACAATTAAATTAAAAAGTAAATATATTACATAGTAATTAGGGCCCAGATTTTTATGCATAAATTATGGTTAAATATGCACATAAATATGCAATCAAAAATTCAAAAATATGCAAAAACAATCCTTTGTTGCCTAGTAAAAAAACTAAACATCTTAAAAAAAAATACAAAATATATATGAAAAAAATACAATTGAAATATCAGTACACTTCTGTTTACAAATGTGTATTTAAAAATTTTAAATGGGAAATGCAAAACGTAATATTAATTTTGTTACGAGTACCAATATGAAGTTATAAAATGTGATTTTATATTTTCCAATTGGAAATTTCCGCTATTCTCACGTGGCATAGATTTATTTTTCGGGACAGGTGTGCTGCATCGCACTTACCTTGCCTCATCAATGATCAGAGCAGAAAATGCAATTTAAAAAAAATACATTTTGTTAAACAAAGCAAAAAATCAAAAAAATCAGTACACAATGGCCAATGACTATATAGAAATATGCAATTTATAGTTATTTTTACTCAAATTGCAAAAAAAAATTTAACCATAAAATAAACACATTAAAAAACGTCAAAGTATTTTTGTACCATTAAGGAGTGACCTATATCAATACTAACTTGTGTTTTAAAATGTTAATATTTAAAATTATTCAGCAAATATTTCAAAATAAATAATTATAATAAATAATTTAAAATACAAACTAGTAGTTTCCGACATATTAAACTTAAAGAATTAATAATAATAGTCTATATCCCATGATACTAGCCCAAGCGCCCAGCCATAGGTATATTTAGTCACATTTTAGGGTTGGAAAATGTTATCATTTAAGAGGACGTTACACAGATATTTGTTGTCTTTGTGTCTTACAAGTGCGTAACCTAGCAAATGTATGCTCAGCAGATCACGTTTAACTCCGTTAGTTTAAAAATTAGAGTGAATCGACCTATAATGAAAGTTGATGGTAAGAAAATTATCTGTTTGTATGTGGTTTTTTTTATGATAACTCAGTTTTTAAGTGAGTTATAAGAATTTTTATTTTGCGCTTTATTATAATATACCCATGACTTGCTAAAAAATTGAATTATCGTTAAAAAACACACATACAAACACAGATAATGCTCTTAACATCAAGTTGCATAATAGGTCAATTCTTTCTAATTTTAAAACTAACCAAGCTAAACGTGATCTGCTGAGCGTACATTTTTTATGTTACACAGTTGTAAGACGGACACAACAAATGTTTGTGTAGCGTCCTCTTAACATGAGTAGTATAGGGATTATTATTCATGTTTTTTGGAAAATATATGCATTATTTTGAACCATTTTTAAATTGTATAGCTTGTACTATTATGCATTCATAACTCATGTGCACATGTGTATATTTTATAAACATTCTTTTTATTATTGTGTAAATAATTAAATTATACAATCTGTTAACACTATACCTATACACCTATGTTCACAGTAAGTATGAGCCAAATACTATTTGGTATACCACAGACATGTGACTTCTTGAAAGATGGTTTTATACTGATAGTAACGTTACACTCATATTTGTTTCTCAAAAATGTTTATGAAATATACACTTTTGAAAATGTATAAATGCCTAAAGGTACGAGCTATAAAATTTAAAAGGTTTGTGGTTCAAAATATTTTCCAAAAACTAAAAAAACATGAATAACCCCTATACTGAACGGGTTAATGTAGCAACCCTAGCAACTGCTATCAGTTCTGAGCATTTCTCTGGATCACCCTGCTATCAAAGCTGGTTAGCCTATGGTAGTGTCAAGTGAGGATGGGCAGAAAAACCAATTTTGGTTGAGAAGTGGCATGTTTTCTCGTGGAATAGAGTATAGTAAAGTAATTTTATTTCCTTGAATAAGGATTTGTTGCTAAAAACTGCGGGAGCTAGGAACACCGGCCAATACGTATACTCACAAGGGTTTCCGCAGTTGAGTGTACAGACCAAGAAACTCTGACAACTAGGTATTAAAAATATTGTAAAATGCTTATAAATTAATATAATTTACATACTATTTTTAAATCAATTAACTAGCAAACTTTCTTTTCGTAACTATAAACAAATAAATATTATTTAATAATAGGTATTATATTTTATGTTATGTTTATAATTATATCTGTTATCCTTATTACATAGGTTAATAAGTCGGAAACTAATCATTGAAATTTTGATTTAGTTACATCAACAATACAATATTTAAAAAAGGGGTCGGTTCTCATTTGAAAATCAAAAGTTTGTATAGCTACAAGACACTTAAATGATTCAGAAAATTTCAAGTATTCAAAATTTTTGTATTTAGGTATATTTCAAACTTCAAAAATCAGATTTTGAATAACTTTATAATTAAAGAAAAAAAAAAGGATGAGGAATGAACATGTTTGGTGAATCATCCTGTATATTCAAAAAAAATATGGGCTATAATCAACATTTATTGATTGTAAAATTTTTAACAAAGATTAGATTAAAATTTTACCTACATTGTAGGTAAATACTAAATACTATATTATACTTAAGTTCTGTACAAATAAACATATTGCCAGTGGTAGTAAGAATCACAACTACTAATTTTATTGTTGTGTAATATATATAATGTAAAATACACTTCTGATAATATATTTTTCAAGTGTTTTTTTTTTTGATGGTTTCAAAAAATATTAAATACTAATTCTAAAAAGTAAGGGAAATATGCACCTACAAGAAACTGTTATATCATAATATGCACTAACACATACAAGACAAAATAGAAGACAAAAACACATATTATGACCAAACCGAACTGCAGAAATTAAAAAATTTCATTTTTTCTCATAACTACATTATACTTGGTAAATTTAATATAAAGTTATGAACAATTGAATATAATTAAATTAAACTATAAATTAGCATGGGATTTGCATCCAAATTAACACAATACCCAATACTGTTTTGGAATTTAAAATCGAACAATTCTAGTCACCATTACTTAGGTACTTTCCATATTTTGCAAATATGTTTGCGGTATGATAGAAAATGTTTGTTAAAGAAGAAAATTAAAAAAAATTGATTTTTAAACTGAGGAAGAAAACATTATTTGGCATTTGCATCATTTTTGAACATATTATCTCGTATTTTATATTATTTTACAAACTAGTTATACATAGCAATTTAATACTAATAAATGATAACTGATCAATAACTGTATTATAGAACTAACATTTGCTTAATTTTTTTTCTTTTAGCTTTTTTTCGTTAGATAATATTAATAAAAATTAGTTAATTGAATTAAAAAATTAATTAATATCAGACTATAAACAAATTTTATCTAGTTAAATAACAGTAAAAAATCAATCAGCTATGGTTCAATATATATGACCTTTAATGACATACTTAATAAATCAATAACACACTTTTAAAAATTGTATTCATTGAAATACACATTTGAATAAAACAATCCATTGTTAAAAATCATAATTTATGTACATATAAAAAGTATACAAATTAATTATCTAATTGAAGTTAAGTATGATAATAAAATATACCTAAAAGCTAAAACCCATCTAAACTGTTAAATATAAGTACCTACATAATAAAGATTACTGCAATTTTATAACATTAAATAATAATTTATTAGGATTATTTCAAGTATAAACATTAAATTAAAAAAAATAATATAATATAATAATAGGTAATCAATAAAATTCAATTTCTTTTTAACTTATGCGTCAATTTGTGCTATCTATGAAAAATGTAATTATATTTTGTATTTATATTGACTAAGTTAGGTTAGGCTGACATTTGCAAGGTAAAAAAGCAAAATATTAATTTCTAATAAAAGAAATGAAATTTACCTGATATACTCCGGCACCTCGAATGGTCGGCACACACTGTCCAAGCATAAAAAAATGTGCACAAAATGGGTTTGTAAAGCATATGTCATTAGCGGCCAATGCCCAGCGCATTTTATTTGACATTATTAAATTCTTCCAACCAAGTGCAGCTAAAACAACCCAATATATTTAGAGTTGACATAAAAGTTTGGAGGAAAATGAATAACTACATACCCCAAATGCCAGGATCATCAAAACATGAGTCGTGATTAGATACTGTAATGAGTGGTATGTGCTTGGGTCGATTGATCGCTTTGTCAAATGAGACAAGGTTGTACACTTTTGCCTTGTTGAACCATTCTACAAAAACATACACACGTCACACAGGAGGTATCCCTTACAGGTATTGATGAGGCATGCGGATACTTACTGATGAAAATCTTGCTGAATATACCGACGGCAGCTAACGTGATGCAAGACGCAACGTTCCAAATTATCCGTCGGTTCCTGAGTTTGGGCAAGACCCAATCAATGTTGTACTCTTTCTTCACAACCATGTTTGGTTATATCGTTTTACATCAGATTTGGATTTTTGTTAGTATCGGTTTGCACGACCTTCTTTCTGGTCGCGTGTTACTAGCAGAGTGCACGTTCTAAGAGGGCTCCACTCATCGATTCGTTGTCGCGTAGGTACATGTATAACAAAAAGCAAATAAGACAGGGAAAGGTATAAATATTAAATATATCGAATTCGTGAATAATAAATGAGAATGAGAACGGCGGTTGTAGGCAAGACGGAATAGGAAATTAATAATATATTTCAGGTACCTACGACGACAACAAGAAGGCAAAGCGAACGCGGCGACGACCGACCACAACACTACAGTCCACAGCCGCGGTGAGCGGGATTACTTATTGCCAATTATTATCATATTATCGTTCCGCACGGGCACGACGGCAGCGGTCGTTATCTGTTATCTCACGGTCGTCTAGGGTTCCCCGTGGTGGCAGATAACGGACACGTTGGGTAAGCGCGCGCAAGCGTACCCCACCTCATTGCCGTCTATGATGGTACCACAGACTTCTATACTACACAAAATGACTTATATAAAATATTTTTTTTTTTTTGTAAACTAAATGTTTAAAAATAATAAAATACGATATAAAATAAATCATAATATCATCTTATTTGTCATATGAAATACCATACAATTGCCAACCGACCTTGAGGCTTCAATTCATAACCGGAGTTCGCTATCTAGTAATATATAGAAATCTGTGGATGGTACGCGCCACGCGGACGACGACCGTCAAAAAAGCATACGAATAAATTACGAAGTACGAATATTGTTATTATACCTGCTTCCACCGACCCTGGTTAAGAGCAAGTAACAGGTTCAGGTTAGGTTATGACTGGCATTGGCGCAAACAGTGGGTGGGGGGGGCTTGGGGGGACTTACCCCCCTGGTTCAATATCTATAGTAATTAGTACCTACTAAATTTTATATTCTGTGCTACTAAGCAATATGGCCTATGGGAAGGGGGCTTGAGTCCCGCCAAAAAATTTCGTCAATTTGTGCCTACGGTGGACTGCAATTTTCCCATTTGTACTTGAAGGGGCGCATTGACCCGGATGGGTAAATGTTCATTAGATAATGACATATACTGTATAGGCAGTGTGTATTGTAATAAATACTAAATAAAAGTACCAATATAAATTAATAAAATAAAAATGTGGCCATCCCCACAATAATAAATATAATTTTTTAAAAACATGTGACTAATTTTATTCAGTTGTATCGAGTGTCGAGTACCTAGTATCGCGATACTCCAAGTATCTAGTTACTAGATTCTAGTTATCTAGTATCGCGATACTGCTCTTTGGACTTTGAATACTATATATTCATCAGAAATCAGAATAGCCTTGAACCTTGAACATATAACTTTAGCTGAATTTGAAGTCAATTATGAAGTTTATGGTAAAAAAAAAGCCCACCTAAAACAATTCTGACTCGGACTCTGGGGCGGTACTGGTTTGCGCACAAATGCCAAAAAGACAACTTGTTTGGGCACAAAACTACCACTCGTTTCACGTTTGGGAACAGTTGAGCCGTAACAATACACATGGTTTGCGAACAGTTACCTTTTAGACTTTAATAGGTTAATACCTTGCATATTAATATTTGTTTATTAATAAGTAAATTATTAAAGAAGTTACCTATTTACATAAATTTTCCTTCCCCCTCAGGCCTCAACAGACTTAGGACTGTCCATGGATGTATGCATAAGTGTAGTTAAAAATGCATGTTAATATTGCTTATTATTTATTAATGATTGTTAATAAATAATATTGAATACTTGTTCAAGTTAAATAAAAATTTTAATAATAATTGTTAATTTTAATACTATAAAAATAAGTTTAAGTAACAAATCCTATGTACGCACACTATTCTCGAGACGTACCTACTGTTTGTAAGAAATTTTATAACATCTCCGTACACTTCATCGATGATTATCAGTGCCCAACACAGGTAAAATATTATTATTTTCGTGTGCGCAAACCATTTGTACATTAAATATAAATATAACCTTGAGCTCAAACGAGTTCCGATTTTCCAGTTTAAGGTTATTCATTTTTGATTTAAACCAATAAAACAATATTCATGTTGTCAAAAATAGGTTTTGAGTAAAAATTCCCGTTTTTCCTTAATGTTTTAGATTCTGAGAGGAGCGATGAATGTATTGATTTTACAATTATGTATGTTTTAGATTCTGAGTGAAACGATGAATGTATTGATTTTACAATGATGTGTGTTTTTTTTTTAATTTTTAAATTTTTTTTGTGCCTGTCATCACCTTTTATTACAGTAAAAATGCTTAGATTTTCTTCAACAGTATCTTTTCTGATAGGAAAGTGAATCTAGTTGGTACTTTAGGGGGTCAAAAGTAAAAATTTCTCAGTAGTTTTCAAAAGCGCAGGGAAAAACAAAAGAAAAATTAAGGAAAAACGGGAATTTGTACGCAAAATCTGTTTTCGAAAAAATCGATTTTGGTGGTTTGGTCCAACTCTTAAACAAATGACCGTATAGGTACATGCAAATTTGACTGAATGTTTATATTAGCATTTTCTATACACCATAACATTTTCTAAATATTTTGACTTATTTTGAGCTGTTTACGAACATTTTCAATTCTCATTTTTTTTGTAGTTTTTTTTTCTCTAAATACAATTTTATTATCAATACAATTTTATTTGTTGGTTAAAAAAGCTTGAAAATTTAAAAGGAGGCTCTTAGTATATTGTTTCAAAGGCAGATGAAAAAAATGAAAAATCCATAGCCACCATTTTTTTATATCCATTTAATGTTCAAATATTGACAAAATACGTAAAAATACGAACATTTGAAAATTATTTTGAGTTAGAAACTCATAAAAATTTTTCTTTTTAAATCTAAGATTTGAAAATGTAATAGAAGACTCCTCATGAGTTTGTCTACCTTTATCAAAAAAAAAAGTCTACAAGTATGTCAAATTAAATTTTTACGAGCGTTTGAAATTCATATTTTTACAACATTTGATATTCACTCGATTTCTCATGTAGGTAAAGTCTTTCTTATTTTATTGTAATTAAAAAACGAATGAGTGTAGATACTTGAAAATTTCACTGAATATATTATATTATTATAATATTTATATTAGCATTTCCTATATACTATACAATTTTGACTCTTTCTGAGCTGTTGACGGTCATTTTCAGTTTTCAATTTTTTTAGTTAAAATATTTTTTCAAAATATTATGATTTGGTTTGAACTGTTAAGAAACATTTTCATTTTCTAGATTTTTTTCTAAAAATATCAATAAAATTTAATTTGTTGGTTAAAAAAGCTTGGAAATTAAATAGAAGGCTATTAGTATATAGGTAGTTATATACTATATTGTTTCAAAGGCAAATGAAAAATATTAAAAATCCTTAGTTACAATTTCTTTTTTTTAAGCATTTCAAGTTCAAAAATTTGTCAAAATATGGAAAAATCACAAAAATTATCAAATTATTTTGAGTAAAGAATTCGTAAAAATTTTTCTTTTTAAATCTAGGATTTTAAAATGTAATACAAGATTCCTTATAAGATTATCAAAAAAAAAAAAATGTGTATAAAAAAGTCATATTAAATTTTTATGAACAATTTTTTTTTATAAGCATTTAAAGATCGAATTTTGATAAAATGTTTGAAATTTAAAATTGAATAATTATTTTGTAGTCAAAAATGTTTAAAATGTTCAACTTTTAAATCTAATGATTGAACATTCAAAACAAGATTCCACGTAAGTAGTTAATTCTGTAACCAAAAAATCTAAAAAATACATTGACACAGTTTATTTTTATAGTCACTTTGAGTTCAAATTTGGACGAAATTACATAATAAAAAACCTAGAATAACTATTTTAAGTTATTTTATTGTATTTTTGGGAGCTTGAAACTTCTAAAGTACACTATTATATATCTATGATAAGATCAGGGTTTGTTGTTGATGTATAAAGTGTATAAATACCTAATGGATATTGTGATATGATATTAATTTGGAATTTATTATAGGAACCTATTACCGTTTTGTGCATCGGCACCGGCTTCGGCTCTTTTCCGTGTCTTGCGCCACGTCGTGGTCGTTCCCGTTTCCTCTAGTAATACTCGTTTTTACCTAGCTGTATAACCGCTGTATAACCGCTGTGGAAAAAGCTGTAGGTAAAAACGAGTATTACTAGAGGAAACGGGAACGACCACGACGTGGCGCAAGACACGGAAAAGAGCCGAAGCCGCACGCCGATGCACAAAACGGTTCAACAAACGAGAGGACAAAAAAATGTCTGCCGGGCGAACGCCAAAAAAAGGCGAGTCTAAACGGAGGATTTGTTCAAAGTGTCCGGCGAACAAAACGGCGTCTAGCTGCGGGCACAAACGAGCTGTGAACTCAGGACAAAAGCTCATCTTGGCGTATTACACAGGCGTAATAAAGGCGAGAGGGGAGGGAGCCAAGACTGCAGCGACGTTTAAAGCCACTGTGGAATGAATAGCCAATGATCTGCAGTAGCTGACAGAGGTTACTTCTGCCCTGCGGTCAGAATTCTAGCCCTGGATCAAAAGAAGTGTTTATGTAAAAAGATGATACCTGCCTATAAATTATAAAATATACCTATGGCTATATTTCCGTAATATTGTGTACCTACATACAGTGGTCGAAATGGCTTAAGATAAGTGGAGGGATGCCTTACAATTCAGATTTCCTGATATCATCATAACATTCTTCATATCTTGTATAGTATTTTTTTTTTATAGTTCACATTTTGTTTATGCATCAGAATACTACAATCTTTTTTGATCATAAATAATCTTTAAAACTAAACAAATAAATAACATATTTTCAAATTTTTCAAAAAAAACTGATAAAATATTTTATTTATAATATTTTTCTGTGGACTTATTATCATCAATATTGTTATTGTTTTGTGATATTAAAATATTATGTTATTAGCTCTAAACACGACTAAGGTATATGTAAA